GACAAGCGTTTGTGGGAATGAAAAAATTCCTTGTACAAGAAAAAACTGCCTGATACTCTCCTGATTTTTCTCCTGATTTTTTAGAAAAAATCTCCTGATCAACTCCTGATTTTTGAAGAAAAACTCCTGATTTTGAAAAATTGGATTTGGGCACCCTGGTTGTGTCTACCGTAGAATGATGTCTGAGAATCAGTTGTTACTCGGTAATAGATCAGTTTATTTTACTCAAACTTGCTCTACTGGAATCAGAGAAAAACTAGAACAGTGTTTTTCATTTCTTGGTTCAACATCCATTAAATACTATGTACGGAGACACCAGTTGTGAATATAGTAGAATACATTTTGCTGTTCTTCATTCATTGTTCTCAGTACATAGAATAATGGCCACTTGTAAGCCCAAATTCGCCATCCACTTTAGAAAAAAATTCTATATTATAATCTGACGAGCAGTTGCACACGACCAGGCAGTTTCAGTTCAAAACAACAACAATTATTTACAAACAGTATTACTGTGAGTGTTTTTTTTCTTCTAAATACTTCATTGTATAAAATATTGTCTATATGAATGAATTATGATCTTGGCCTTTTAATTGCTTTAACAATTGTAGCATTGTATCTAATTCAACATGAAAACGTTCAATTTTTTGTTGTATTATTGAACGTAATTTATATACATCATCATTGCTTTGTTTTAAAATACTTGATTTATAATCTTTTTGAATACGTTCACGTTTTTGTAGACGGCTATCTAATTGTTGTATTTTTGTTTCTAATTGCTGAAAATGTTTCATTTTTGGTGTTTGATGTAAACGAGCATCATCTAACTTATTTTCTAATTTTGTGATTGTTGATCGCAATTCATCATTGCTCACTCGTAATATGGCCAATTGTTTGGCATTGTCTGCGGCTTGTTATGTCATCACTATGCGTTTGTTCTTTAAATTCATATGAATTTATTTTTGTATTCAATCGTTCATTTTCTTGTTTTAATAAATATATATTATCTGAACTATTGCTATTTAAATCAGTTAATACAATGGCTCCCCATGTCTTCATTCCCGGCAATTTCCCGACGAGATCTCGCAAAACCCCGTCCGGGATCCCAGTCGGGAACCATCAAGATATCGCAGGATACTAGTTTTTGTAGCGGGAACCCGCTAAAAATGCTGAGATCACGTTTTCCTTTTTCTGTCATTCTTTCGTCTTGTAATTGAACTCCCACTGATTTTATTAATTGTAGAAATCAAACTTTTGTAATAAACACCAATTTTATTCTAACAGAAAAACGACAAATGAATAGCTAACAGACGCTCTAAAACACAGTGCACAAAACAATAGAAAAACAGCAGAAGTACGATTACAAAATTAGTACGAGAGAAGAAGAGAGACGTTTTGTAAGGATGATCTGCATCACTATCGTCATCGTCCGTTACTATTTGTTGTGAAAGGCATCTTGACGTCGATTTTTTTGTTGCTTGGTGTGGACGTTTTTGTTGAGCAGGATTCATCGCTGCTGATTCTCGTTTTTTATTTTTCTGTTGTCGTAATTGTGATGGTGATCGTAAGTGTTCATCATTGAAATTATAAATCATTGGGTTATGGCAGCCATATTCTCATGCCCAAGCAAAAACGACCCAATTTTTTGGGTTATTTATCTAGATTCAGGTCCACGTGCATCTAGATGTACGTGGAGCTGAATCTAGATAAATAACCCAAAAAATTGGGTCGTTTTTGCTTGGGTGGTCAAGGATAACTTGTATGAGATTTCCTAACGAATAACACACAAAAATTATGATCGATAGCGAAATCTTATTCGATTGTTTAATGTTGCACAGGCTAAATTCTTCCATCTTTGTATCTGTTCGTTGCAATGAACGATCCTAAAGTGAGATAAAAAAACACGATCTAATATAAACACGAT